AAAAGACAAACAATGACAAATAGATCCAGATAGTGCCTGCCTATGCCTGAGAAAGGCTGCAGGAGTGACTAGAAGAAATCAAATCAGGAATGAAGTTGTAAGAGAAACAAATAAGTACAGCACCGATACTAAATTACTCAAAAAGACAGAAGATAAAATGGTTTCTCTATTTACAGCGAATGTCTTGCGATGTTACACCAAACAGACAAGACATATACAAAAAGAGCAGAGGGATGCAGACCATGAGACAGACCAAGAACAAGATGGAAAGATAAAATCAGAGAAACTCTACAACAGCAAGAGGTGTCCATGGCCTAGGTGATGAGAACAGCAAGAAGCAGAACCTGATATCTCCCTTATCACCCAACACAGTAAAAGAGCTAGTGAAGAAGAAAAAGAATATCTTCCAACAAAAAGATGCACCATGTAATCAAAACATTGAAAGTAGACACACACAATTTCATCCTACAAGATATTCCAATATAATACAGTTTAAAAAAAAAAAAAAAAAAAATGACACGTAGACCTAGAAAAACTGTGACTAAAGAGAGCTGCTCCAGTATAACAAAACAATGACAGACAGATCGAGATAATTTAATCCTACATAGAGAGGCTCTCATTTAATTTGTTAACTCTTCGAGTCCCAACGAACACATATGTTCATAGGCACCAGCCTAGACACCCAATGAACTCATGATACGCAGATTTTACGCCGCTCTTTAGGACCCATTGGGCCTGTGGTGCTAAACCTACTGGGACTCAAAGAGTTAAAAAAATACTCACAATTAAGTTTAACAACACAAAGAAAAAAGCATTCTACAAGGAGATACACACTAATAAATAGATCTCAAAAAATGTCCTCTTACAAAGAGAAACACACTGATGAATAGATCTAAAAAATGTCCCTCTACAATGAGATACTCACTGATGAATAGATCTCAAAAATGTCCTCCTACAAAGAGAAACACACTGATGAATAGATCTAAAAAATGTCCCTCTACAATGAGATACTCACTGATGAATAGATCTCAAAAATGTCCTCCTACAAAGAGAAACACACTGATGAATAGATCTCAAAAATGTCCCTCTACAATGAGATACTCACTGATGAATAGATCTAAAAAATGTCCTCCTATAAAGAGAAACACACTGATGAATAGATCTCAAAAATGTCCCTCTACAATGAGATACTCACTGTAGGTCTAAATCAATGGTCTCCAACCTTTAAAAGGAAGGGAGGGGGTGCCTATTTAGGGGGACAAAAGAAAGTTTAAATGTGGGGGGGGGGGGGGGGGAGCTATTCTTTCATATTTAAAACTATTTACAACTATAACATTTTCAGACAAAACTTCTGGCCAAGAGAGACACTGGTGGAAGCCAGTACGGGTCGCTGAGTGAATTACAACAGACAGTGAAGTTCATACTAGAGACAACATTGCAGATATAGATAATCTATTTCAAGTGAACGAAAGAAGGAGAAGAATTGATGTAATCTCTCATTAAGCCTGATTAGTTTATCTGACGTCAAGCGTGGGACATTTGAGCAGATAGATTTCAATAAAAGGCACTGCCACCTTGCCAATATTATCAACAGGTGTTGAAAATGTGACTTTAAAAAAAACAAAAAATACCCAAGTTACTTTGGGCATAGGAATAAAGGAAGGCCAAAAAACACATGGAGAAGAGAGCTGGAGAATGAGGTTAGAAAGATTAGGAGGACATGGGGAGAGCTCCATGCAATGGCGAAGGATAGAACGACTTGGCGTGAGTTGGTTGAGGGCTTATGCTCCATTGGGGGATAGAAAGGCAGAAGATAAGAACACACACAATTAACTGACAGTCATCATCGCCATCAACAATTTCCACTTTTTCCATTAAGCGTTGTGGGGAGGAGCAGCTTGCAATCCATTGCTTGATGGCTATCGTCATTCCGTGTTGATGTAGGAGCTCTTTAATGTCATCAATCCATCTTCTCCTAGGGCGGCCTCTTGCTGTCATTTCAGATCTTTTCCTGTGTAGCGCCTGCATTGGTAGCTGGTCTGGCTGCATTCTTACTAAATGACCAAATCATTCGATCTTCCGTTTCTCAATGAATTTGCTACATGGGGTTGTTCCTAGAGTCTGTCTGATTATATAATTTCTAACTTTGTCTTAGATAGTTAAGTTGGCGGCTTTTCTCAGGCATCTCATTTCACAGGTGTTAATTTTACGTAGAATAACCTTTGATGATGGCCACATCTGGCACTGGTAGCACAGTGTTGGTATGAATATGCTGTTTATAATCTGTTTCTTGGTGCTCATGCTTATTTTTGGATGTCTTCAGTGTATTCAACTCAAAATTAATTGAGTAAATCCAACTCAGTTCTTCTTCTTCTGGTAATTCACTGGCTGCAAACTCTGGTGGAAAGTTCTGGTTGTTCATCCACTTCTGGGCTTTAGTCTTGTTCCAGAACCTGAATTTTGCTCTCACAGCCATTTTAAAGAGCTGGTTTATTTTACGAAGACTGTTGGTTCCTCGCCTCTCAGGCAGATGCACTCCGACTTCAAAGGAAGCATTCCTAATAAGTAGACTCTTAAGACATGCTTGTAAGGAGGCAGTGGGTTCAACCCCTCCCCGCCCCCACAGACACACACAAGAGGAACCCGGAACTCACACAGGGACTAACTAAATTAAATAACAGTATCCAACTCTACAATTATCTCAGTGTATCCAGTTCACAATTCATTCAGAGTATCCAGTTCACACTTAATTCAGAGTATCAAACTCCCCGATTATTTCAGTGTATCTAGTTCACATTTAATTCAGAGTAGCCAGTTCACAATTAATTCAGAGCATCCAGTTCACAATTAATTCAGAGTATACAACTCCACAATTATTTTAGTGTATCCAGTTCACAATTATTTCAGGGTATCCAGTTCACACTTAATTCAGAGTATTTAACTCCAAAATTATTTCAGTGTATCCAGTTCACAATTAATTCAGAGTATCTAGTTCACAATTAATTCAGAGTACCCAGTTCACAATTAATTCAGAGTATCCAGCTGTCAATGAATTCAGTGTATCCAGTCAACAATTAATTCACAGTATCCAGTTCACAATTACTACGCACAATATAGAAAGCTGTTCGTGAATTAAATACAAAGTGACAACCCTCTAACACAGACTAACCCATGTCACAGGTGAGAAACAGGAATGAAAGCCTAATTACGCTATATTTGAGGCGGACATCATAAAAAGTTCCCAGATGCATTCTAACCTGAAAGGAAACAATGATTCTTTCTAACTGGAGCGAGTCCCCGATAGGGAACCTGTTTCTAGGATGGCAGCAAAGAGGTGCAGATAAGTGGTTCCCAGTTTGAGCCCTAGCCCTGCTGCGCCACTATGTGTGGTTCATTTCAGCTCCTCTGCTTTCCAGATATGTAATGTCATAAATAACTTCTTCCCCTTCTTCTCCATATTCGCCGGCTGTAACCGCTGGCAACCAGTTCCTGTTGTCTGTCCAACTCTGGACTTAAGTCCTTGTTCCAGAAGCTCACTGTTGTGTGCACATCCCTTTTACAGATATGACTTATTTATAAGCAGATTGTTGGTTCTTTGCCTCTCAGGCAGATGCACTCCAACTTCCAGGGAAGCCCCTTATTAGTCAACTCCTAGGACATGCTTGTTAATGGGGCAGTGGGTCTGTTCTTGTTTAACCCATACTGGGACCCTGAAAACCCACACAGGGAAAGAAGAAACAAAAACTGTGGCACATACGTGAGGCTTGCAATATTCTTCCAACCAGCTGAAGACACACGCTGACAGTTCAGCAAAGTTGGCCACAGAGATTGATGGATTGAAAGACTGGAACAGGGCGTCCATCATGTTGCGGAACTGAAATAATGTTAACAATGTATTTAAAAGTTTAGAAGAGAGGTTCAAAGATAGGAGAATTATTGAGACTGACTTTTACCCTACAGTGATCCACCCTCCACATAGAGTGCCCGTTCACATACTCACAGAGTTTCACACCAACACCAACAAAATTTCACACACACCAACAGAGTTTCATACCCACCACAAGAGTTTTTCACACACACCAACAGTTAAACTTGGAAGAAATCCACAAATAAATCCCCCATCAAATAAAAGAAACACAAATAAACCACTCACCATTTGAAAGAAACACACAAATAAATAACTCACCACATGGAAGAGACACAAATAAATCATTCACCACATGGAAGAGACACAAATAAATCATTCACCACATGGAAGAGACACAAATAAATAACTCACCACATAGAAGAGACACAAATAAATCATTCACCACATGGAAGAGACACAAATGAATAACCCACCACATGGAAGAGACACAAATAAAACATTCACCACATGGAAGAGACACAAATAAATCACTCACCACATGGAAGAGACACAAATAAATAACTCACCACATGGAAGAGACACAAATAAATCACTCACCACATGGAAGAGACATAAATAAATCATTCACCACATGGAAGAGACACAAATAAATAACTCACCACATGGAAGAGACACAAAAAAATCATTCACCACATGGAAGACAAATAAATCATTCACCACATGGAAGAGACAAATAAATCATTCACCACATGGAAGAGACAAAAAAAAAATCATTCACCACATGGAAGAGACACAAATAAATAACTCACCACATGAAAGAGACACAAATAAATAATTCACCACATGGTAGAGACACAAATAAATAATTCACCACATGGAAGAGACACAAATAAATAATTCACCACATGAAAGAGACACAAATAAATCATTCACCACATGGAAGAGACACGCAAATAACTCACAATGTGAGAGAGACATGACAGGCAAATAAATCACTCACCTCTTGGAAGAAAAACATAAATAAATCACTCACCACTAGAACGAAACACAAATAAATCACTCACCAAATGAAAGAAGCACATAAATAAATACATATACCGACTTGGAAGAAATGCACAAATAAATCACTCACCACCTGGAACTTGACTTCGTCAGACACCTGGTTCTGACCATGAGACGGTGAGCTTTGGTGAGTCTTCACAATGTGTTCATAGTTCCTGAGGAAGCCAACAACAGGTCACAATTGTCAGCATGCCAACATTAAAAACCTGAAGTGGTCAATGTTGAGTATAATCATGCCAGCTTGTGGTAAGCAGATAACTGACATCGGTCAACTCTTAGCACTCTTCCAGCCTTATATACAAGCGGTCAGCTCTTAGCACTCTTCCAGCCTTATATACAAGCGGTCAACTCTTAGCACTCTTCCAGCCTTATATACAAGCGGTCAACTCTTAGCACTCTTCCAGCCTTATATACAAGCGGTCAACTCTTAGCACTCTTCCAGCCTTATATACAAGCGGTCAACTCTTAGCACTCTTCCAGCCTTATATACAAGCGGTCAACTCTTAGCACTCTTCCAGCCTTATATACAAGCGGTCAACTCTTAGCACTCTTCCAGCCTTATATACTAGCGGTCAACTCTTGGCACTCTTCCAGCCTTATATACTAGTGGTCAACTCTTAGCACTCTTCCAGCCTTATATACTAGTGGTCAACTCTTAGCACTCTTCCAGCCTTATATACTAGCGGTAAACTCTTGGCACTCTTCCAGCCTTATATACTAGCGGTAAACTCTTAGCACTCTTCCAGCCTCATATACTAGTGGTCAACTCTTGGCACTCTTCCAGCCTTATATACTAGTGGTCAACTCTTAGCACTCTTCCAGCCTTATATTCTAGCGGTCAATTTTAGCACTCTTCCAGCCTTATATACTAGCGGTAAACTCTTAGCACTCTTCCAGCCTTATATTCTAGCAGTCAATTTTAGCACTCTTCCAGCCTTATATACTAGCGGTCAACTCTTAGCACTCTTCCAGCCTTATATTCTAGCGGTCAATTTTAGCACTCTTCCAGCCTTATATTCTAGCGGTCAATTTTAGCACTCTTCCAGTCTTATATTCTAGCGGTCAATTTTAGCACTCTTCCAGCCTTATATACTAGCGGTCAATTTTAGCACTCTTCCAGTCTTATATGCCCAATACACCTGAAGGTGTGGCAAAGCATCTTTTTTTAAAAGATATCTAACACTACTGAGCTATTAATGAGGGAAACGTTGAATATCTACAGTCGATAGGAGACTTGCTTTCAAATCCAGCTGCGATCGCTGCAGCCCATGGCTGGTGCTCGAAACCGGGCTGTTCTCGGGGTTGACCCAGCCTCTAGGAAATGGGTACCAGAGTTAAGACTCTAGGGTAAATGGAGGAAGATCGCTGCAGCTACGACACAGATGGACAGTTTCTCATCAGCTGTCCGTACTGGTGGCAGAGCACTTATGGTATATAACCATGTGCAATAACGCTGGTTCACATCACCCGACTTTACTTACAGGGGATATCTGTGGGATAAATTATACTGATGCTCTGTGGCAGCCGCATGTGTTGACTAAGAAAATTACAGGCCCACACTGTATCACCTGGGGCAGGCCTCGAGACAACAGCACTGTAAGGCTTATAGGAAATGTCATAGCCTAGAGCAGTGAATAGTTATCCTACAGTCACATGTTAAAAACAATATAGGGGGGTCTGTGTAAAGTAAAGGACTCATTTCCGCGCCTTCAGGCGTATAGGGCAAAACCTATATTTTATAGACCAATCGGCACTTGGTGGGTGATGTGGTCAACATCACGCCGGCCGCCTTTACTTCCCAGGACTGCACCTGGTACCCTCTCAAGGCTGGATCCACCTGGCAATCAAGGTCATTGTTAACGAAAGCCTGGTTCCATCAGGACCCGAACCCTCGATCCTCAAGGGGCCTCAGCACATAAGTAAATGCACAAAAGAAGCAATGTGATGACAACTCATATCAAGAAAGTTGTCAGAAGCTGAGGTTTGGGAAGTTGGATAACTATGAATAATGTTAGCCATGTGATTTAAGTGGCACACTCTCACAAGAGATTGTTCTGTTCTTGTCTTCCCCCAGCCTGGCTGCGCCAACCATCTACTACTGTGAATCGACTACATCTCTATTGCACGTAACTACCAAACAAGTGGATTCATAAATATAAAGGTTTAAGCCACTGGATGGCCAGTTTTATTTACAATTTAAGATAAAGTACATCAATCACTGGAATGAATATTGTGTTTTATTAAAACCAAATCCTGTGAATTTACAATGGCAGTTGCCTAAAGATTCCGGCACCACTGCCTTGGATTATGTTGTTGTTTGAGGAGCGTCAAGACAACAGAATGTATTATAAAAGCCTGAAGTCCACAAGTTTCACCAGGTGGCTGTGTCGCCCCATGACCCTGAATCCCCCTGCGCCACATATCTAACCTCCTTCCTGAGGACAAAATTTTTTTTTTTTTTTGGGTTGCCAATCATCGTTCCGGTGTTCCCATTACAGTATATGTTACATGAACTTTACCCACCTGGTCAGTCTCCTAAACTACGGTCAGCGCAGGCTTGGGGAGGAAGAGTCTAGAAGAAGCCTTTTTCATCCCTGTACTCATTATTGCCCTGGAAGCTTGTAATTCAGTTGGCAGGATTGTGTGCGACACAATCACTAAACTGTCCTGTGATACACCTGTACAGAAATAATAGTCTTACCTTTCTGACTCCCTGTCACATCACAGTCTCAAACGCATGGGGCCTTCCCCTTAGAGCTATAACAAATTTTACGAGCCAAATTTCTCTTAAGACTATGGACCCGGACATGGGTAGGGAAGTCTATCTAGTATAGATTCCTTTTAGTTGGCATTTGAATGCACCCTCACATTTGCTATACTCACGCTTTCATGATCTTCAGGGCCATCACCTCCTTGCGAAGTGACTCTAGTTCCTCTTCCTGCTTCTTTTTCTGGGTGCTCAGAAACTGCATGTAGTCAATGGCTGTGGATGGAAGCAGGAAGACAAGACAATGAATTCATGTCAGTTGACCTGAAAAGTGAATGAGTAGCAATGCAGATTGCTTGCTGGCCTGAAGGTCTTGGGTTCAAATCCAGTCAGATAGTTTCAGAATAGACCTTGGCTTCCAGGTCCCCCAAGATTTCACTGGCCAAACATCAACATGGCTGCTATCAGGAATATGTCAGTTAAGCAATTTTGTGTATTTGTGTCTGTGCAAGCGGTATTGTTGATTTATGTAATGTGCTGATGAAGGTTTCTTAGCCTCTGTTCACTTTCCATTTGTTATACTGTGAAGCTTGCTGATCTACACCTATACATACAATTGTACATATTTTCACAAGCTGGTCTGGACTATTGTATCTTACCTATTAATTATTGCTTCATAATAGTAATATTATACATTTCTTAATTATAAAGTGGAAAAGGGTGAGTGTGAAGTTGAGAGAACAGAGTCAACTTCCCCTTTCAATGACTTCCAGTCAGCACTTCCTACTTCCTATTTCAAACAAAGACACATGGCAAGTCAGACAGATTTCTGTCACCACTTCCTATTTCAAACAAAGACACATGGCAAGTCAGACAGATCCTATTTATTTCAAACAAAGACACATGGCAAGTCAGACAGATTTCTGTCACCACTTCCTATTTCAAACAAAGACACATGGCAAGTCAGACAGATTTCTGTCACCACTTCCTATTTCAAACAAAGACACATGGCAAGTCAGACAGATTTCTGTCAGCTCATATGACTCAGTAAACCCCGGTAGGTGGTCAAAGCTGAAGCCAGCACTGTATGTTATTTCCCTACCAGGGGTGGGTGAGCAGTTATTATTATTCGAATTTGATCTCTTGCTGTTAATTGCTCTGAGTTCATATTTTGTTGTAGACTGTAGAAAAACGTGCTGCCCACATATGAAAGAAAACCCTGGTGAATGTATCTGCTCTCCTCACTAAGCACTTGTATGCTCTATTCCAGGTGAAGTTCTAGATGGAGACCAGATGAAGTTGTAGGTGCAGAAGATTGTCTAGACTGGTAGAGAAGATTCAGCCTGCCCAGGAGTGTGTCCATAAGTGGTTGTGGAGCTAGAAGCCTGATTCAGCCTGCCCAGGAGTGTGTCCATAAGTGGCTGTGGAGCTAGAAGCCTGATTCAGCCTGCCCAGAAGTGTGTCCATAAGTGGTTGTGAAGAGCTAGAAGCCTGATTCAGCCTGATCCAGCCTGCCCAGAAGTGTGTCCATAAGTGGTTGTGGAGCTAGAAGCCTGATTCAGCCTGCCCAGAAGTGTGTCCATAAGTGGTTGTGGAGCTAGAAGCCTGATTCAGCCTGCCCAGGAGTGTGTCCATAAGTGGTTGTGGAGCTAGAAGCCTGATTCAGCCTGCCCAGAAGTGTATCCATAAGTGGTTGTGGAGCCAGAAGTCTGACCCAGGACAACAGATGAGTTTACACTCATACCATGGGGTCAACCACCAATATCCCCAGCCATTGTCATGATTAGTTTGACCCTTCCAGTTGAAATGTTATATATGTTAATAGTCCTTCCAGTGTTGTGGAGTTCATTATAACCATAATCATTTGTATTTAACTGAGCAATAACTATTCAAATTTCCTAAATATATAACAGCAGGGAATCAGATGTGGGCAAATACTGAATCCTCTTCTTTAACCAGCAAGGCTGGGAGATAGATCCGATCTCTCAGGAAGTTTCACGGTTTGAGATTCCGTCTGCATACTGTCTACCTGTGAGATCTTGTCTTTATCCTTTTAATCTTAACTAGCCTCTGCGGCAGTACAGTAGTAATGAAGTTAACTTCATAAGAGCAGTGTTTTCCAGGTCAGTCATTTTTCTGCCTTGTAGAGAATCATGTTCTATTGTCTTCTGTAGATTGCACATAGTGTATTTGCTAAAACAATGCAAATCCTATGCCACATATACACTCATGCATACACGCCCAAGCATCATTTTTTTAATTCATTGGCACCTTTCCGTATTTCTTTACAATAGTGTTATACTGCAATATGAGGAGGAATGGGACTCACAGCCCATGACGAGTCTGACTAGCAAGACCCAACTGCGTTAACAAGTCTTTCACAGTTATAGCATGTCAACATTTGTGTTTAGTCTCTTCTCAGATGTCAGGCTTTCATCCTTTCTGCATTCTCATTCCTTTCCTAATGTGCCCCCTTCACACAACATAGTCCATGGGATTTTGTTCCAATGAGTCCACCTCAGTACCTGTATCATTCATGCCCCGCTTGCACACATCTTTATAAAAAGTTGGCCTCGACATCTACCTGTCTTTAGCACACCACAAAGGATATCCTTGGGAACTCTTCCAATCCTCCTATCTCCAGGTGTGACCCAGCCACCAGAGCCTTCGTTGATTGGGCATTGAGAATGTTATAGTAACTGCTCTTTTCAGTACCTCAGAGTTTGTGATCTTGTCCTGCCACTTAATGCCAAGTATTCTTCTTAAGCATCGCATGTGAAAACTATTTAGTCATCTCTCCTGATGCAAATAAACTGATTTAGTTTCATTGCTATAAAGCAGAGTGCTGAAAACACAAGCCCAACAGACAAGAGTTTTTGTTTTAATCGTGAGCTTTCTGTTCTCCCAAACTCTTTTTGTTAAGAGTTTTCTGCTCATTGTTGTTGCTGCCTTACCTATCCCGATGTTGATTTCTTGATCCGGTGATAGTTTGTTATTAACTGTGGAACCCAGATAGGTAAAATGGTCAACTGTCTCCAGCTCCTAACCATCAATGTAGACTGCAGGTCTACCATTAACACCTTGCACCATAATCCAAGCATACCCACACTTGAATAAATACACTCATGAGCATACAAGCCCGAACACCAATACATAAACGCACTCATACATACTCATGCATACACAAACGCCTATATATACACAAGCGCCTTATCGTACATTACATAATCACCCTTATGCATACAAACACACTCACATCCTTAAACTGAGAGAGAGAGAGGGAGGGAGGGAGACAGCGAGAGATAGACAGAGAGACAGAGAAACAAAAGAGAGAGAGAGACTTATAAACAGTCAATGTTATACTGACATCTCTGAAGAACCGTAGCCTTGCTGATTTTCTGCGAGCCCAGCGAGTCCTGCTGCTGGCAGGTGGGCACAATACTCTGCAGCTCATCATAACCTTTCTGAGGGGGAAAAAGTAAAATTCATTTATGATCGACTGATTTATGAATCGACAGCACAGCACACCGGGCATACCCATAGATGCTCCGTCTTAAGGTGTAGATGCTAACTCTTCCCCTGGCACACTGATTATATATATATATATATATATATACGTTGTTCTCTTCCTCTCAAACATCCCTCCTTGCCAGATCCATTCCTTGTTCATACATTCTTCCACATGTTACTTCATCTAATCTCATGTCTTCTGCCAATATTCGTCCATATATGTTCTTCAGAATATCTCCCTTGTCCAGTACGAGTGCTCCTGTAGCTTTCACTTTCGTGGCCAGAGCTTTCATTCCCTCATACTCCTGCATGTCCCGGACAGTACATCCACGTGATTCCCTTGGCATCCACTCGTGCCACATTAGTCCATTTTTAAGCTTCCGCAGTACCGACTGAGAATCAGACAAAATAATTCCTCTAGTAACTTTGTTTTCTGCTATCCTCATCAGAGGTGCAGTGATCGCCTCCACTTCCATCCTCATGCCTCAAGTTGTACATAAAAAAAGCTCCATTTTGTTCTTCTACTATTTTTTCCCTTTATTCTAGCTGAAAATTCCCAGTCAGATCTCACTCACTCATTTATGAAAACATAGGAACTTATAATTTAATTTTTTTGTAATCGATTCTGCTCAGGAATAAAAATATCACCAGCAATGAGACTGGATACAATGTTATCAAATAATAGTTTGAAGTAGAACGACTAAATTCTGTTTTCAAAGGGTCACGACTTGGGCAAGTAGGTCTGTCCTTCCAAACACTCCTTTCACACAGCAACTGTGTTTTATCAATAAAGCATGTTATGTGCTCATATTACAATATGCACAATATGAATGTCAAGAAAAAAACACACAAAAGCATGGATAGTAAATGCATGTGCCCACACTTACTCACTCACCTGCATTCATGCACGCACACATACATACATATGCACGCGCACACATACACACATACATATATACACACACAACAAGAATGAAAATGCTAGATAGTCTTTCAAACTGACTGAAATGACATGAGGCAGAAGGATAGAGATAAGTCATGACTACCAATACCACAGGAAAAAGACCAGGGCTACTCAACTGGCCGCCCGCCAAGGCCTAATAAGTGGCCTGCAGATCACCTGCCAACTGTATTGCATTAACGCTCTTTCTATGCTGGGACTGAGCATCTGGCCCGTGACCATCCTTATTTCCCAAATACTGGCCCCTGAGTAAACGTAGCTGAATCCCCTGGCATCGGTAATAAGAAAAAGTGTCGACTGATAGGATGACTTGATGCAGGTCAGTAAACTATCTAGTCTTCTTCTTCTTCTACTTCACTTCCTCTTTTACCGCTGTGGGTGTCGAGGGAGATATAAGGTTCTGTTTCTTGCTCTTCTGGCTGCCTCGACCATAGGCACATCGTGCTGTTGTAGAGTTTCTCTGATGTTATCCTTCCATCTTGTTCTTGGTCTACCCCGTGCTCTACGTCCTTCTTCTCTTTCCATGTATGCTTTGTATAAAACTATCTAGTAAAATGACAAAATTGCTAATAAATAAATGCTAGTTTTGTCGCTGATGTTGTGATGTTCTAATGCAGACATGCAACTAACTTACATCTTAATTTTATCTGTAGAAAGTTTTTTAAAAAAAAGTAAAGGACCCTTTTCCACACCTTTAGGCGAACTGGGCATATAGGGCTAGACCTTATTTTACAGGCCAATCAGCTGGTGTTGTGGCCAGCATCATGCCAGTCCCCTTTACTTCCCAGAACTGCACCTGGTACCCGTTCAAGGCTGGGTCGACCTAGGGACCAATCTCGGTACTGACATTAGTCCAGCTCTGTCAGGACCTGAGCCCAGGAACTTCTGGTTCGCATGCCAGTCTCTAGCCACCACACCACGTCGACCTTATGTGTACTGCAGTGAACTCAATGGATTACCTTGATGGCATCTCGTCTCTTCTGCTCAGCCACTGTGTGGGCTTCTCGCCGTCTGTCCTTGTAGGATGGAACTCTGCTGGACTCGCTGTCCTCATCATCTACAAAGTGAAGAATATTGAGATCAATACAAACAATACCAATCATCATCCTCACCGCACACGACTGCAGGTTACCCTTTGATGGTGTATCCATTACTTCTTAAAGTCCATGCCATGTGGCGCTAGTAGTCATGTCTATCCACAACCTTCTGTCTCGGGTACTTTCAATCAACTCTGATGATCCTCCATGCCATATGACGCTAGTAGTCATATCTATCCACAACCTTCTGTCTCGGGTACTTTCAATCAACTCTGATACAGAAGATCCTTCATGCCATATGGCGCTAGTAGTCATATCTATCCACAACCTTCTGTCTCGGGTACTTTCAATCAACTCTGATGATCCTCCATGCCATATGACGCTAGTAGTCATATCTATCCACAACCTTCTGTCTCGGGTACTTTCAATCAACTCTGATACAGAAGATCCTCCATGCCATATGGCGCTAGTAGTCATATCTATCCACAACCTTCTGTCTCGGGTACTTTCAATCAACTCTGATACAGAAGATCCTCCATGCCATATGGCGCTAGTAGTCATATCTATCCACAACCTTCTGTCTCGGGTACTTTCAATCAACTCTGATACAGAAGATCCTCCATGCCATGTGGCGCTAGTAGTCATATCTATCCACAACCTTCTGTCTCGGGTACTTTCAATCAACTCTGATACAGAAGATCCTCCATGGCATGATGTCAAACTGTCCAGCATCTTTTCTCTCGTTCTCCCTGACCCTCTCCTCCGCTCCAAGTTTCCTACTGTCACACTGTTTTCTCAATCAGGTGATCACAGATGTAGCCATTACAGATGCCCTAATGATAACTTCTCTGGAGGTGGAAGAGGATATACAGTATTTGCCTTGTTGGCCTGCCCTTTAGATTGGGACTTTTTTAATCTCAAGGTGTTGAACCTTCAGACCACAGCCCACAGGGAATAAAACACAGGCATTCAAAAACAATCCCAAGAAAAAAGGTTGTCTTTACCATAACCATTGTTGTGGGCCCGTCAACACTTGATCGTCATCCCCTAACACTGCGTTGTTGCATGCTGATTCGGAAGGGTTGTATAGGCCTTCAGCTCCCCTCACTTCAGGGCTCGCTGTACGGATGAACAGATTACATCCCCTACTCAACTTGACCTCCGTTGCTCTATACGTAGCAGACACTCTCACATTATGATATGTACGGATTTGTCTATACCCGCTTGAAAATGTGACAATAAATGTGCATGTATGGCGACAACATTTCGTTGAGTTTTTCTGACAGTTTTGTGCGCAACAGTTGGAGTGGGAATCATATCCTGGCCACTTGGTCGTGTGCTGTCTGTCCATTAAAATCTTGAGCACACAACATGTGTGTCGTTGGGTCACCGCTTCCTGTTGACTGTCTGATCCGCTCCCTCCATCTTTGACGGCCAGACATGATAGACTTCATGGTCGCATGCCTAAGGCCTAACAAATCAGTCAAGTTCTGAATCCAGGTTTTTCTTAGTCTGCCTCCTCTTCTCATCGACTTTACTAAGCACTGTAGTATTGTTTTTGAGGGGTTGTTAGATCTTATTACTTGTCCATACCATTACATTTCTCCATCTTTCAATGCAGTTAATGTTTTTTCCACATTATTATATTTCTCACACTCATAGTTGACTCGACTGAGACTACTGGAGATTCACCTTTTCTTCCATTAGATACAACCTTATCCAATAAAAGGTGCTGTCTGATTGCTGAGGTAAAGTATGTTACAATGAGAGGCATCAAGTTTGAACCACAGGAGCTGATCAATGTGTTTTTTATTTTTAATGTTTCTTATATACAAGGAATGACACCCGTCTCTCTCTCTCTCTCAGCGAGAGAAAAATAGACAGATAGGCAAAAGTGTATGAAAATTCAATCAGATAGACAGACACAAGCATCCTAAAATGTAATGTGAGAGAGAGAGAGAGAGAGAGAGAGAGATAGAGAGAGACAGATAGAACGAGAGACAGAGAATGAACAAATAGTTGAACAAACTTTATTTCAAAAGGGCTACAAATTGGGCATGCAGGTCCGTCATGCATTTGACCCTTTCAAGCACTCACTTTGCATACATTTGACCCTTTCAAGCACTCACTTTGTATACATTTGACCCTTTCAAGCACTCACTTTGCATACATTTGACCCTTTCAAGCACTCACTTTGCATACATTTGACCCTTTCAAGCACTCACTTTGCATACAGCAATTGTATTTTTATATATCAAGCATATCATGGTCATATATCCAAATTTATAAAATTTAAAATCAAAATACAAAAAACTCTAGAAAGCAAGCAAAGAAGGGGGGAGGGGGAAAGGAGAGGGAGGGGGAGAGAGAGAGAGAGAGAGAGAGAGAGAGAGAGAGAGAGAGAGGGAGAGAGAGAGAGAGAGAGAGAGAGAGAGAGAGAGAGAGAGAGAGAGAGAGAGAGAGAGAGAGAGAGAGACATAAGTGTCCAAAAAATCATTTCCCTGGTCATCACAGAAAACTGTTAACAATCACTTTATTTCGATGACATAAATGCCCCCCCCCCCCCCCCCCCCCCAAATACAAAAATCATAATTCCTAAATTCTTCATTACATACAACAGAACAGCAAAGATTAAAAGTACAAATAATGTACACAGCAAAATGTTTAATGTGATACAAAATGACGTATGTGCACCAAGATAAAGCAAAGACAAACAAAAGATCACTACTGCAGACTGAAATCAATCAATCAATTTCCTCTTATACTGAATAGTCTGGGAGAAAGAAACACAGAGGGGAAAAAAGGGAGGGGGGGGGGGGGGGGGGGGGGGTGTACTGATTATCTTTTCAAGGTCTGAGAACATCATAAGCAAACTTATGTACACAAGCTGTGCCAGGTAAGAATGCATAACCTTTATAGGACTTTAAAATAAACACAAGTGAACTGCGTGCACACA